TAGAGATTTGTGTGAGAGCTTATCCTTATCATATAATACATCACGTTCATACTTTGTGTCTACTAATACTGGTTCCTCATCTGGTTCAACTGGATGGAAGGGACATCGTTGAGGAGCGCTCCCTGCGCCATCTACTGGCTGGTCTAGAGCATCTTGCATGATAACGTCTAACTGCTTCCTTGTGGGAAACGTCACATCTAAATGTCCTTCATCAACAATAGCTGGCTCGTTGAGATAGTCAACGTGCTGTTTTTTGCCTGTCGTAGTTATGGGACGATGTTCACTGTCTAGTATCACCTCTTCTACATCATCAAGTTGAGATACTTTCTTACTCTTAACTCCATTTTTATCTGCTTTATCCTCATTGTCATTGGAAGAAGGTACAGGATGTGTAGCTTTGCTGGCATGATCAGACCTCTCGTGTCTGTTGGGCTGCGCCTTATCATTTGACGCATCCAGCTGATGCTTTACCAAATCTGCCAGTTGATCTGCCAAATTCACCCGCTCATCTATATCGATTACAACAGCATCCGAATCTTGATTCCTCGCTGATTCATCGTAGTAGTTTGCTGCAGGCAACACCATGACGTCATCAACACGCCAGAGTCTCTTCAGATCTGTAGCAAAACAAGAATCACCGATGATCTATTTAAGAAATGACAATTAATGCAGTAAATTTCGTTTAAAAGTTATTCATAGACAAATAGACTGTAATGGATAAGAATATGTTGGGTGTCAATAGTGAGGCCGGATGAGTGAAATATGGTTGCCGGGCGTACGACGTATACGAGAAAACCTATACAATATACATCACATAGCATAGAAAAATAATTTATCTCACCATTTTGGTTTATATTCTCCCACGTTTCAGATGGTGATTTGGTTATCTCAACTTCTTGTTCATATGTGAAGGGGATTTTGCCGCCAATCTGAAGATAGATAGTAATACTCTGTTTATATTGTCGCATATTTGGTACCATACATCGAAATGTTACACTTCTGATATTTTAGTAGAGATATATTAGCGGTATAATATAATTGTGATGGTATCTGATATTATATGAGTCATACCTGCAGTATTTTAACAAGCCACGTGCCTTCGTGAAGACGCCCACAGTCGAATCTGCCATCAAGTTTAGAGACGTTGAGGTAATCGAACTAAGAATAAAAATGATCCTGCATTTTAACTCGTGCTATAACACTTGTTATGATGATGTAACTCATGATGATAGTTGTTGTTTGTGGTAGTGGTGGTGGTTACTTTTGAGCGTGTTTTGGAGTGTTGTTGTTGGTTGATGGATAGCGGTCGGTGGCTTAGTTGCTAAGAGTGATTGGTGTTTGTGGTGTTAGTAGTTGTTAGCGGTGATGGCTCTGGATGGTTTTGCTCGCCTGGTCGTCATCATGCTCGCTGTCGTTATATATACTGTTATCATTGCTGTTGGTGGTGTATTAATTACGCCTGCTGCTGCTGGATGACGTCATCCTAGCTGTCGTACTTGGCGAGAGTGGTGGTGAACCGCCATAATTATGTAAACAGGGACAGGATTCGAAACAGGACATCTAACAAAATATATATATATATATATATATATATATATATATATATATATATATATATACCAGAGAAACCGCATAATGTAGTGTTTTGCGTCCCGAACAGTGGATAACTGAATTTGCAATAGAAAGCAATGTAACACATTTACGCTGTGCACGTTTGGGAAATACATTGGTATCATTACGACCTTTCTGGATAATCCCAAACCTTTTTCATCACGGTTCCCTTGTTCCACGCGTGCTTTAATTTCTGCTGACACTGCAAAGTACCCTCCGGCGTGTAAAGTTGCATGGTAAAAGATAAGACATCAGAGTTCATGTTGTCCTTGTCTAATGCCGGGAATTCCAGATACTGCTTGTTTGGATCATCTAACCCTGCAAAAAGAATTAATTTTTACCACGACTTATTTTTGAATGACCAATTAAGTGCGCCATATACAATCGTCATTGGCATTGAGGTCTCATTGTCTGGAATTTCTAGTATTGTATAAAGATAAACGGGTATTGGTGATTCTAATGTTTCTTAGTTAATATCGCCATGCTACGAGAGTAATATACGAGAGTAATATACGAGAGTAAATGATAGAAAACTGAAATGCTAAACATATGACTGATTACACAGTGGACCAACCTTTGCAAGATGGTGGGGTTACGTTGACATCAAAGAAGATTGTGAACCATAGAGTTTCTGTGGGCGGGTTCATAGTGTATGTGCGTTCGCTACTGCGTCAGTAAAGGTAAAAATTGCATTAATTGAGTAATAACGTTACGAAAGATCATGTTACGAAATTCGCACTTACGGAAGTTATAAATGATAAACTAAATCGAGATACGAAAAGTAAATTCTGCATAACGGAATTGCGCACATATATTAAATAATGAATGATATACAGTTGATACGGCAGATAAATGTCGTATAAGTATATAAAGCCTTTATAGCTTTTGTTTAGCCAGCTGTGCTCAGACACCTACGTGTGTATTGGCACACATGATTCAGCAACAACCCGTGACCATGTTAAAAAAATTAAATGAAATTTTGCACTTCAACTATATGTTGTGCAGAGGCATGATATAATATTATGCTATTATTATCAGAAAGGCTTAGTTATATTATGCTCACGGCTGGCCGAGCGCACGCACGCTGCCCCCACACACGAGAAAATCATATTTAAATATACATACACAGGGTTAAAACGACGGGTTGATAGGTGTATAGCTCTCAGGTGGCCGTATGAGTAGCATTGAAAAGCTGGCTTCTGAGACTGAAATTGAAATGTATATGCGCCTATATGTCTTTCGAATCACCATATTTTCGCGTAAAATACAAACCATGATAAGCCCATTTATAATATGACCTAGAAGCAAAATCAATATGCCGAAACTGATTTTCTTGAATAGAGATAACAATTAGTGCAACACTGCAGTAGGTTGTTCGCGAGTAAACGTGTAATTTACATAAATATAAATAAAGTGCTTGAGTTGTATTAAATTGGCAAAGTGATTACATTGTCAGCATTATGGGACGTGATAACGGCACACAGACGACAATATAAATCGCTCTAATACCTACTAATTGTACATTTGTAATTGCCTATGAACTCAAAGAAACCAATATGAACTTTATATCTGCAAGCATAATATGTTAATCATTTTACTATGTAACTATAATATGCAACACCTATACGACACACGTATATTATACTCATATTACGACACACTTATTCAACTTACTACAGCAGCTCGGAGCGTAACGACGGCATTAGCTTTCTTCTCATTCTGTCAAAACAAACATATATATATATAAACATAATCTGGGCTTTCCACTAACTTGTGTTTTACTTAATTTATTACTCTTTACATATGTATTGTACGTTTGCATATAAAGGTAATATTCTTTGCCAAGTAATATCTTACGCTATCTACGTTATTACGTAATGTTTATAAAATATAGAAAGGATTAACGGACGCGACGATGTATTATAACCTACCGCAGTAAAATCAATCAGGTATATATATTCATCCAGTCGGCCGAGCCCTATAAAAGGATTTCCAGTAAAACTAAAACAAGTAAAGAACAAGTAGCGCAACGTTTCCTAAACAAAAACGAATTAAGTTAATTCGAAATGTCCCGTTTTTTTAAATTATAATTAGTTAATTAGTCAATTAGACTAGGCCGACTGTGATTCATCTTTAACGTAATCGCATCCCTACCTCTCATCTGCCACGTTATGGCATAATAATGATAATTTTACAAGTAATTAAACAAAATCGCCCTTCACCCACCGCTTTAATTGCCATTCATGGCTTCCCTTACTCACCATTGGACGTTTGGTGTGCAGAGAATTGATGCAGGCAGCAGTTGTCACGCGGCATCATTCGCGGCAATAGTTTCCAGTTCCACACATCGACCTTATACGCAAGCGCATACTCTCCTTGATCGTTCAGCTTCTTTAGCGCGAGCTTAGCCAACTTTCTGTCGGGTAGTGCATGCAAGACAGCATTTCACTTCACTATATCCGAATAAAGCACAGAGTCCGCGCTCCCGTGTATGGTCACTAGCTATTCCGGTTCTATATGCAATATTCATATACAGAACGATGACTCGTTGACCGCTCTTTACTGAATATATATATTATATATAATATATATATCAGGGGTGAATAAAACCTCTGTATTATTCATTACGCATTTTTAGACAAGTTATGTGATGATGTGACAAGTTACAATAACTACTTTCATCCTCACTATGATGCTTTTCCGCTCAATTAATATGCAAAAAAAGCTATCAACTCACCGTATCAACTCATCTGGCACTGCGCGTTTCTGCGTTCGCTCAAAGTCGGTGAGCAACCATTTAACAACGGTTCTACGAACAGGGTCGTCAGCAGACAGGGAAAACTTGCGAGCGAAGAATGCAGTATGAAACATCGTCAGTAGGTGTGGAACATCGTTGATCGTGAAGTCTCTTGGCCCCTGCGTAACCAAAGGTGCCTATTATTGCGAAGCGGCAAGCTCATGCGGCTTAGCTTGCAACAGAAGGTGATGCAGGTATTAAACCGTTGATTATATGGGTTAGGACTGTTATAGTCGTAGCGTCGCTATATAAGTTCTTAGAGGCGTTTCAAATGTCTGAAGTACAAGTGAGATCACAAGTTCTGTTTGATCTCATACCGATATCTACTTGTAGTTACATGCTTTTTTTGGCTGCTATTTTCCAGCGTTTTTGTAAAGAATTAATTGCATTTTAATGTCTTACATGATCAGCTATCGTAAATAACACAATTTCGCATAAACAGTGTGTTGGAATGCATTATAAATCATTAACGTAATATTCAGAACTGGTAATTCTCGGAGTAACTATAAAACACGCCATTCAGAATATAATTATTAGATCCCATAACTGAACTATGCATGCATTATATGATTACCATAGACATAATATCAGATGCATTGAGTCGGCGGTATAATGTCTTCGCGTCGTGCACTTGCATCGGAGCCGTGTATCGGTGATGCCCTTGTACAAATGTATCGCTGCAATGTCAAAGGCATATGCTTAGTATAAGTGAAAGACGACTCGGAAACACGGCACTCCCTACTTCATCACAGAGCATAGAAATACGGAAAAGACAGTAACCCAGCTTAGGACAAGGCCTTGTGATGTAAATGCGGCAAGGAAATAGCGTCAGTTATTATTTTAGAAAGCATCCTGACCATAATGACGGTACTGTGGTGTTTGTGGGAGAACTAACTCATCGTCGTGAATTCCCCCACTTACCTAAGATGAGAGTTGCGCAGCATGGTCAGGAAATAGCTTTCATCAGGAATGCTAAGAGTCATCGCCGTATACTGTAGCCATCCAAGAAGTTTTCTACCATCTACAGACAGGAGATGCTCCACGTATCCCCTACAAAAGTTAATGACAATAACTGTCTCAGCTCCTAGATGGGCTGACTACAAACACTGCAAACAATTTGCTCAATTTTGTATAGATAATGGTTTGGTTATAGTTATAGTCATAGTCATGACCATGGTCGTGGCCGTGGTCGTGGTCGTGGTCGTGGTCGTGGTCGTGGTCGTGGTCGTGGTCATGGTCATGGTCATGGTCGTGGTCAGCGTCATCGTCATTGTCATCGTCATGGTGGTCATGGCCATCGTCGTGGTCATGGCCATGGCCATGGTCATGGTCATGGTCATGGTCATGGTCATGGTCATGGTCATGGTCATGGTCATGGTCATGGCCATGGTCATGGTCATGGTCGTTGTCATAGTCGTGGTCGTGGTCGTGGTCATGGCCATCGTCGTGGTCGTGTTCATCGTCATCGTCATCGTCATGATCATGGCCGTTTACAACATGGCACGTCTGGATTACGAACGTCTTACTATGAACGCTACTTAACAAACGTACCGGTTCAGTATGTACCACTGCGTTGAATGCGCTATGTCGGCATTCTCAGGGAATTTCCGTGTGCACACCTTGTACAGGTAGTCACCGCAAGTGTACCTTAATTCCAATATAAGATTATATAAAGTAAATTAATAATAATATCAGGTTAATAAAAATGATGATAATAATAATAATAATAATAATAATAATAAAGGTAAAATTGCATGATTTATTATGAGTATCAATTTTTATCTAATCAAGATTACGTAATAATTTTTCATGACACTGATCACGTTGGTCTATATATCAGCAGACGATTTATTTACCCTGTAGAGATTGGAGGTCATTGTTCTAGATCATACTTACCATGCATAACCGGAACTTGTCACATCGCCTATATTTGCATTCCATCTTGTGTGGCGAGGCTTTAGATATGCCCCAAAATTATTTCCTGTGCAACAGCAAATATCAATTAACATGCTATCTAATATGGTCCATAGAGAATCACTGGCCGTGGATAATAATTCAAAATTTTTACCAGCATGCAACGTAGTGCTTATTGTCTAATTCTAAATATTCCGTTACAATTATGCGACTACAGGGCTAAAAAAAAAGTACAGGTAATGATCTATCTACAGCAGGAGTAGATAAAGGGAATTCCCTTTATCTACTCCTGATCTACAGGTAATACACTAGCTGAAGAGCCTGTATTCCGGTATCACATCCGTTTCTAAAACTATTTGTTAAAACGAAATATGCCTTCAATATTTGAGCATGTGATTACATAATTGTGATACATTGTGAAAAATAGGCAATATATCGCTGTAAGTAGCTATTTGCTCGAGAAAATGTGGCATAATTAATCAATAATGAAACAGCAGCTTCCCATGGTGGCTACTGGTTGTGAGACCAATCTTTATTTTTGCATCACATTTCTTAGTTATGTTTGGGTGGTTACAAAGACAAAGACCATCATAAAAAAACAAGTAGCTATAGTTTTTATATCAAATACTGACATTACGATGGCATTTTGATGATAATTGTCACCACGGGTTATTTCCACGAGGCAGACCGAACTCAAATTCGTCGCAAATATGGAGTGTTGTGGAGGCGGTTACCTCGGTAGGGCGCAAGTGCTGCTGAAAGGTCTTCAATGGGACGAACAGGCATGTCGCTGCCGCTCAGGTTGATGACAAAGTCCCAGGTTCCCATGCGCAAGAGCTGCTCCATGGCCTCTAGCTCGGCACGCACGATGCCGTAAGCGCCCCAGTTTGTGATGAAGGATCTGAGGACAACTACACAGATGCAATATACGGACACGTAGCAGGTGTAATTCCATTCATTACGCAATTGTCACAACGTTGTATTACGTACAATGTTCAATAGCTAGACCTTTTGCGCTTGGGAAATACCGCACTGTGTTTGACTGCCTGTATAATGACGGAAACTTAGTGCCGATAATTAAAATAACTGTAAATGAATAGCAAAATATAAGCTAGATATGAAAATCTAAAATGTTATTAAACTGAAAGGTTGTTTTTAGATAATTTAGTGCTAGCAATCAAAAGATACCCATTCTTATCCACCAAGATATGAATACATTTAATTTAGTGTAGAGAATTTTTCAGTTGATTCGGCGTGCAGCAAATTATAGTTATTCCAAAGCAATCAGGAGTGTAGGCCTAACTCTCACCGACCCTTCATATTCGATTGCATAGTTACATACATGATATGGTATGAACGTTGTATAACTCACCGCTCTGCGTCAAGTACTTGTAAGTTATCTTTAGCAAATGAAGCCAGAGCCTCCAATAAACGCGTCCTGAACTGAGGTTGTCTGAGATCAACGTGCACCACGTAGTAGTGCTCTGGCCTGTACACGGCTTTTATCAGTTGCAACTACAACGAGACACATTTATCTCTGCTAAATCTTATTCTTCTGAGCCGATCAAGCAGCTGTATCAGTATTTCAGCTATATGAGGGAATTATATACTTTAAAATGTATAGATTGATTGTAATATGAGAAAGTTCTTGCTTTTGGAGAGCAACGTAAGCCATCATGACAAGACAAGGAAGTAGCTTTAACCAAACGTAAAGACACTCGCAATAACGCATTATATGCAATGTTGATTATAACAGCAATGGCTGGTATCTCTTTAAAATCAAAAGCGTCTACCAAAAGAGTTTAGTTATATAGTCCTACTATCTATAACTATGCGCGCTGCATGTAACTTAGTAGGGCAAATCTGCGTATGCAGTCATGTGGAGTTATTTTCAAAAGGTGCATCCGCACCCACGATTATTGTGAGCGTTTATGTGAGGCGTCAATAGGTTGATTATTTGACGGTTTCGCGGAATCAGCTACACGCGTAACAGCGGTGTATCTTATTTGGTTTATTTTGAGTTAATAAATCAGATTTATCGAGCACCTATTATTTTCGACTGCTCTTATTATTTTGATCCACACCGGCACCACATTCATGAAAACAATTAAGCTAACGTTACACGATTTTCAAATGCCCCTGCAATCACAGCGCCTCTAGGAGAATGAGCCATGAGTCAAACGTACCCATTTTATTACTATACCCATCTTTCTAACACTATGGAAAAAAGAAAAGTGGTGAAAGCTTTCACTATATCGCGAAAACTACTTGTTGCACAAATAAGTAACTCAGAGTATTCAAGAACAAAGTGGAAGAGGAAATTTTGCATATACTTATCTAGATGATGATAAAATATTTAAATCATTACACACATAAATATTTTAACATTACATGGAAAAATTAAATACTTAAAAATGAGAAAAAGATATAAAAACAAAAAAACTTGAAAGAAATCAGTAAAAGTGCAACCAAGTGGTGTAACCAGATAAGGGTCAAGGCAAGTATCAAGGTCAGATCACTGTCAATGTTAGGATCAGTTCAACAAAGTGACCAAGGCGGATGGGAAGCAATAAGGATGTCTACTACTCATCTAAAATGGCAGCAGTAGTGAAAGTATCTATGCGCTGGTAGAAATTTTTAGGCAATTTATACCTCCCGTTACAGAATGATGAGAGATTTGTCACATAATGAAACTAATCACTATAGTAAGTAATGAGTTTCACGGCAAACGCAGGCCTCTATTATTAGCGGCGCTGTTATTCATTGGTCCTCGTACCGTGAAACAAGATATCTCCTGCATCAGCACATAAATTAGATATGCATGAGTACTTACCACTGCTTCTAGGCCATTGTGGGCTAATATAATGAAGCCTAATCTCGTTGGAATCAGGCCCATATGTGGATCCTTTTGAACTGTAAAAGTAACGGATAAGAATAAATCCGCACGACTATAATTGTTAACACTGGCATAGCAAAATTTGATTAATACTATTCGAAAATGAAAGGGATATCGAAAATATTATACGGCTGGTTTATAAAATGAACAAAACCTGTACAAGACTACAAGTAAGACACTTGTAATGTCAAAGCGTACCGTAACACGATAGATTTTCATGGAACGAGAAGGCAAGTTGCTACCTTTACGATATGTTGTGGTGTCTGCCCAGCTTCCTTGTTGGGGAAGAACTATCTTGTTGAAAACGAGGCTACTAGAGTCGACCTGCGTTTTTTAGAAACATCTGCTGTTAACATAATTGCAAGTATAAGTTTAGTAAATGTGTAGAAACAATTTCTGTCGAGAATATAGTTTGTGCGCTGATAACGGCATCTTTAAGCATGTCGCGATGTTACGCAGATTGTGCGTAGTTACACGGCGACATTTTGTGATCATACGGGATCTTTAGGAAGCAATTAAGTAGACCCATATTTATCTAAGACGAAAATATATCAAGGTTTTGATTATGGAGATTTTGTATACTAGTATATAATTATACTACGTGTAATGCCCCGCATCTTCTTCGTTGAAATCGATAATCCAGCAATGCAGACTGCATCTATGTGTGCCAACAATAGAACATAATCAGATAATCCTGATAACTAACAATACACAATGTTTTGTATGTTTAGGAATTTGACAATACACTGTGTATTGTTAGCGAGCTTTCAACAATACACTGTTTATTGTTGAACACCTTCTAACAATACACTTTTTTTTAGTTAGTTTATTTTTTGATTTGTAAACTTAAAATTGACATTTATTTAAATGAATTTATTGAAATTATTTGATTGATTTTATTGAATTTATTGAAAATAAAATTGAATTTAAATACACAGTTGTTAGGTACCTACTACAATACACAGTGTATTGTTAGAAGGTGTTCAACAATACACAGTGTATTGTTGAAAGCTCATAGGTACCTACTACAATACACAGTGTATTGTTAGAAGGTGTTCAACAATACACACTGTATTGTTGAAAGTGTATTGTTAGTTACCAGGATTATCTGAACATAATATATAATAACGTAGACCGCATCTGATGCCATAACCGCTGCATCATCGTACCATCACCCTGACCCAGTCATACAACCATCCTCCCCCTCATCACTCATGCATCCATCACTACCGCGAATTCGCCTTGCTACTGTTCGGCTACTATATGTACCGTTGTGTTCACGAACGTAGGTGCGGCGCATAATCCTCTCTGGTTGTATTGCCACGAACAGAAGAAATCGACAACTTCTTGCCGACACGTCTGTGATGGTATCCTAGAATCGATCCCGTTAAATCTCATAACAATTTCAACAATAAACAATTTACATAACAGTAATAAATAACAAAAGACCTCTAGACTAATATAAGCACACACTACGCACAGTAGGTACCTACCCGCGATACACTAATCGTACATCTAATGTTGCGCAACAAAACAGAGAGCACATCTTCTTTAAATATTCAAAAAAGTTACCACTGTGAGTTTTTTTATTATCTTATGGAGTATTTTAACAAATCTCACCTGACTAAAGTATGCCACAGTGCATTAGCCACCTGCTTCTGCTGTGGTGGTGGTGTAAAACAATCCCCTCTAAATCTGTGCAATTAAGACAATTAGAAAATTGAGGACATTGCAAGTAATCTTGAATTTTGCGAAATTAAAAAAAGATATTTCTTGAAACTAACGTTTCGATCTAGTTTAGCATCGGATGGATACGTGAGGAGTTATCTCAGTCAAATACACGTATATACTACGAATACGACGAAGGGACACGTACTCGAGACAGATTAGCATAACGTGTGCATAGTTGTACATTTTGAAATATAACAGATTTCAATGTTCATGATTTAGGGCTAGCTAGACAATCGATGAACGCCATTAAGATCACGTAGAATGCATAAATATTTTCCCAAATATTGTAATTATTTGTTAATGCTCCTCTTGTAACATAGGAGTAATGCAATTGGTGAATACTAGCTCAATAGGCCTTACTCGACACTTCATAATTGTATATTTTAGCAACGTCATTCTCATATTAAACTTGGAATTTTTATAATATTCCGTAGTTGTCATTCTGTGTGCCTTAAATACTTATAGGTTTTCACATCGATGTAATTATCTACTCACCCAAGAACCCCCGCCTCCGTTACCGGCGGGCATTTTACATTAAATACTTCGTCGATGTGAATTTTGTTGTGAAAGATGTCTGTATCTGGAATATTGAATAATAGATATGCATGAAACCATAGCCTAACTGGGCAATATATATATATGTGTGTGTGTGTGCGTGCGTGCGTGCGTGCGTGCGTGCGT